TCAAATTATACTGAATCATTAACACCATCATCCACATCCACTATATCTTCACTAAACACAAATAGAGCTTACCGCACTTTTAAAAGAAAATTCCCCAACCATCCTTTCCCAGCAAAACCAGGAACAGCCCGTGAATACATCAACCACCCCCAGCATACTAACACTAAAGAATTTTTAGCTATCACTTTACCCTCGTTTCCACAATACACCTTAAACACCCCTCACGACGCTAACGAAACACGCAACTTTGTAGATGAATACGTTTTAATGCCCACTCTCTCTTGGACCTCATACTATCATTTCACTAACCCTCTTTGCTTACCCTTATCTAACACTCACATCGATATAGAGCGAAATAAGGACATGCTATATCAACTAACTACACCACTAACCGCTAGACAGTTTACTTACGTTGGATATAAAAAATCACTAAAAACACACACTGCACCTAGAGCTAATGAATATACACTAGAATACTACGATCACAACATCATCAGAGCTAACCAAGATCAATTCTTAGACGACGATCGCTTCGCTAATCCACAAATCACCGAGAAATTTTTCATCAAGACACCATATGTATTTACACTAAACATCTTCGACCGAAAGTTTGATCACATTATTTCAGAAGCACTAACAAACACACAGGCATACGAAAGTTTTAAAGAACGCTTCCAAATCTTTTCACTAACCTTTCATTTCCTTGCACCACACGAAAGAGATTTACACTGCTCACACGATATTATGTTGCGCACTAAACAAACACATACATATAGTTATTATCGCTTCATCCAAAATCACTTTGACCTCCACACACCATCTAGACAACCACACCATCGTTTCCAATTCATCAACTCAAAATACACTTCACCGTATTTCCTAAATTTCACATATTGTATTAAAGACACTAACCTCCATGGTATTCTTCGTAATTATGACCCCATAACCCAAATGTACATTTTCTGCCCCATCACCAAGACCTTCAACGCCGAAGAATCCCGACCCTTCCTTATCCCGCACGAGTTTGTACAGCCTATAGAAATCCCAATTTTAGAATTCATCCACAACACTAAATTTAACCACAAATTATATAACTTAATCCAAAACACACCTTATGAGTTTGCAGTAGGCACTGAAGAACTAACCACTATTAAGGCACTTCAATTGCTTTGGCCACTGCTTCAAACTAAAAATATCATCCGCATTCTAGCTAAACTACTCACAACTTCAGAACTAATTCACGACATCTTCCCCCACGGTTTTTTCCCCGACGACTAACAGGTAAGTATGAATTAAGTAAATATTACTAACTAATTAAAATATTGAAAAAACTCACCATTCTTTATTCATGTTTTCTTTAGATTTTTAGCCTTCATCCTCGATCATCTGAAAAATTCACAAAAGAAAAATAAAAAATAGCAAACTTCTTCAAAACTGTTTAAGACCCTATTAAACTTTTGCACCAACAATTAAAATAAATATAATACCAATGCAGTAAATTAATTTATAAAATTTTCCCCCAAAGCAGTAAATCTAATTATGATGAAAATTTGTATCTTAAAATTCCCCCATAACTAGCAGTAAATTTCCAAATTCTATGCAGTAAATTAATAAAATGCAATTGCAGTACTAACCTTTTGATATTTTCATTCATTCGCACAGAAATTCTATCCACACTCGCACAGCTCGCCCACGAAGAATTGTTTAAAATAATGAATTTCAGTTTCAAGTTTTCACACTCAACAACTCTAACATATAATAACATGTTTCAAACTTTCCTTTAACCCGGTTGGAAAGGAATCATATACTAAACAAAACTAACCAACGCAGCTTACTAAATACCACAAATCATAAAATAACAGCATGACTAAGAAAAGAAAACCAACGGTACCCAAACCGGATTAACCCAGTTTAAAACTGGATAATTTATTCTTTTGAAGACTATTACAAAGTCTTAGAAAGAAATAATAAAACACAAAAAAGTCGAAAGACAAACCCATACCACAAACAATTTGATTTTTGAAAAAAGGACACAACCAACGAAACATAAGAAAAACCACAACAAACCCAACATAAAACGTTGTCACATAACAGGACCCCTCACAAAAACCGCATGAAATCATACTCCCACACCTGGCCTAACCCACCAGGAAGGACGTCCTGAGCATGCTCTATAGCCGGCCTAACCCACCGCGCTACATCCACGCTTTGTGACCACACCTTTATTTTTAATAAGAGCTACTCAAGGGTGAGTAACTCTTCAAAATAACCGAACTAAAACAAAAAGCTTTTGTGAAAACAACTAACTAAAATCATTATTAAAAAATATTAAACTAATAAAAGTTTTATAAAATGTAAAATCACATGATGCAATATATAGATCAGAATACAACACCAAGGACGAACATCAAAAGACAAGACGACCTCACTACACTCGAGAGAGAATGACCAACTACAATCGATATGCCGCTCACAATCACAACTCAAAGGATTTAGAGTACGACTTGACCTCGCAGAAAAGGACTTCATTGAACTAGACCAATGACCACCTCGATGACCCAAGTGTACGTACAGATCCGAGTAACCAGGCATCCCCTCCACGCACAATCTCCACGCCATTCCCAAGCTAGATCAGACACAAAAGAAGTTCTCCCCGAAGAACAGAAAAACCTGACATAGCCAACCATTCTGAAATCAGAATTGGTTTTGTTGCAGAGACTCAGTCGTTGTCACAAGAAGAACACAACGTCTTATGTCTCTAACTCCAGTTTCCTGGAACTTCCTAAACAAAAAGGAAACAAAGAAATATGATGTTCGCCAAATACCAACGTCCATCATCCATCCTTGAATTACAGAAGAACTGTTCTAAAAAACTCTGTAAAACCCGGATGGGTGGAACCTGATCTAAACTATATTTTATGATTGGATAAATTAAATGTTTTACCAATGTAAAGTATTTAATATTAACCAATCATGATCCATCTAACTAACAACCCACTTATTTGTAAGTGCTGAAGTTACTTGTAATTTCAGCACCAGAGAGATTTGAATTTAACTTAGAAATTAGTTGGACTCTCCCGAGCACTTCAGCAGCCGCAATAAACCAGTATACCCTAGATCTATTGAGCCTAGCAGAGACTAGTTAAACAACCTGAGACTAGATAGTATAAGAGTAAGATTAGGATCGGTATTAGACTAAGAAGTTGCACGAATCTATCCGGCCGAAAATAAGATAGCGTGACGAGCAGACGGTGTACCCTATCCGAAATTACTCTATGAGTTATACATACCAGTCATAACTCAATGCTTAGGAAAACCAGGACTTATTAGTCATTCTACTGTGTACAGAATCGGATTTAGGGGCGGGGGTTACTCTTTGGTACTATTTCAAAAAAATGTGGCTGACCGACCCTAAATTTCTCTAAAGGCGCCTTTGTCTCCAATAAATGCAAACTTTGAGAGCGCGCGCAAAAAAAACGCGATTTTTTGGTCAATATTTTTGGGCAAACAGGGATCTTTATATTGATTTGGGAGAGCTCGGTAAATCAATTTAGCCTACCTAAAAAAGGCCGACAAAGTTTTCTAAATTCTCTCCTCCCCCTCGAGAAAATCTTAGATCTGCCCCTGACTATAGAAGATGATGATTCAGCTCAAACTGGAAAAATAAGATTTTAAATTTTTTGACAAACTTTTTGATTTGTTAAATTGGGAAAACATATTACTATTTGCAGTATTTGTTGGTATTCTAGTTTCTGAACAAGGGTATACGCTGATACTTTTGCATTCTATACTCGAGTAACGTTACACGAAAGAGTAGTATACACACCAGCGGATTTCAATGAGAGACGAAAAAGGGAGGCCTTTCTCTCAGGGATTCGAACCCCTGCCGGCCCAAAGGGTCCCCCTTTGTACTATTTTAAAATATCCATTTTTGGTGACGGACCCTAAAATTTTTCTGAAGGCGCCTTGGGCGCCAAAATATACTCATTTTGTCTGGGGAGCGCGCCCCAAAAAAGGCGATTTTTTGGTCATCATTTTCCAAAAATGGCTAAAAACGCCTTTTTTGGCCTGTTTTTTCAAAACTTTAATTGCAGCGCAGAAATATTGGTCAGAATAGTGTCTTTAAAGTGATTTGGGACAGCTTATAAAAGTCGATCAAATTTTCGAAATTTTTTTGAAAATCCCCCCCCCCCGCTCGAGAAAACGCTGGATCCGCCCCAGAGTACACGCAACAAATTAGATCGATATCCTTAATTGTGTTTTGAAAGTTTCACTTGCACATTATCATAACTATTCCTTCAGTTTTTTTGAAAATCGGAACAAAAAGACCAGCTCAAGTTAAATTTGGTCTCAATAAACAATCATTTAGGATGATTTGTCTGGTTCATAAAAAGCACCGTACTTGAAAACACAGAAGAAATAACAGTTTCCGTCTTATTCACTTGTTAACAAGATAATTCAGCTTACTCGGGATCAAATCGGATTGAAGAGCTCGGTTTGTTTTTATCTAGCTTGCTGGGGGATAATCCAGTTTTTTTTGCTGGTCGACAGGTTAAATCTATTTTTGGATTCTTTGTTTTTTAACTAGCAGACTTTCTTATTTAAATTTCCCATTTAAAAGTGAATGGTCACATTTTGAAGCACAAAAGCAGATCATTCTACTTATTTTATTCAGAAATTCAGCAAATATTTAGAAAGGTTTTCAATATGTTAGTAATAACCGGTCCAGGGGCAAACATTAAAAACAAAAATCAAACTTTTCAAACAAAAATGAAGCTTCCATTAAATAATTGAAACGTAAAAGTCAAGTTAAGATAATAAAGACCAAACGAAACAAAAATAAAAGCCGTTTTTTTAACTCGAGATATTTTTCGTCCTTAATTTGCGATGAAATCAAATCCCAAAAATTTTGAGCAGCAACTTCACAGATTTTTGTGTGCGATCTACAGTGTACGATCAACAGAAATCACGATTAGAGGTTAAATTTTGTTTAGATTTACCTTTAACGTTTGTAACCGATTTGATAGCACTCTGTAATAACAAAACTGTAATGGGAGGTAATGAAAATACATGTGCATACGGTTTGGTAATTTCAGGTGGCTAAATAAACTTGAATGAACCAGAGTCATCAATTAGGTCTGATCATCCAACAGGGACGCCAATAAACAAAGATGTTTTTGAATTAGATGCCTTTTATGCTGATTTAATGTTCGTTTTGATGTTGAAATTGGGAGCTTTAAAAAATCTGGATGCAGAAATTGAAACAACCATGTCTCGTTTTGCAAAATTTCAAAGGTGGTAATCTAATCCAAAAATTTAAACATCACTCAAAAGTCACAAACGCCGTCAATATGAGAGAAAAAAAATGTAAAAGTAGGATGAATGAAATCTCATTAAAACGTGAGTCGTTATAAAAATGACATCTTCAACTGTTTTTATAAATATCCTAAAAATGATAGATTGCCGAGGGCATGAACTCGCGCCATTATTTTTTGATTATACTGTTCGCAACACTTGTTATGCAGGTTGCTAAGAGTGTGTAAGAAAGTGACAGGAAACAAATTGGAGACAAGGCAAGTGAAATTTGCCAAGCTTGAGGGTTTCGAAAAAGTTAATTGGAAACTCGATCTGTAGACTAAAGTTGAGTTAGGTTTACCCGATGTAGTGACACAAGTTGAAGGTTTTCTGATATAGGTTAAATAAGCAGAAATTGAGCATAAACAACTACTATTTAAAGCCCACAAGCAAAAGAGGGCTCAATCTTTCAGAGGATCTATTGGTGCAATAAATAACGAGGACTTGGGATCTTAACACAATCAAAGTTTTATGGAACAGAGTACAAATATGGGAATTAAATAATGTTCTGGCTTGTAGCAATTATAAATTGGGAGTTTTCACGTGTAATTCTTCATTTGCGACGTTGGAAGCTGTCTAAATCTGACATAACCCCCCGCCGAGCTTGCTAGAAATTTCCGTCTCAATTTTCGGGAGAGAAAGTCTGCCTGGTTTCGGAATAAAGAAAATCCCTTAATAAATCAGTAATTCGATTTAAAAATTGCCCCCCTAGCAAGCAGAGAAAAAGAAAAGCTTTATCATTAGTGAAAAGATTGACAGTGAAAAACTGGTGCTTATACCATGACAAAAATTTAACAATCAAATCGAGATTTTGCGAATATCTTCAGCGCGAATATCGTCAGCCAATAGTATCTTGCAGTCCGACAAGCTTTAAAGAGTTTCGGGATCAACCCACAATCCACCCCACCCCCTTGCCAATCAATGTCCCCCCGAAGCAAGTATTTTTTAAGAAAACTGTTTCGCTATAAAATATGCTTTTCAAACAAACGCGAAAAATTTAACTTTTCATAGAATTTTTTTAATACCGTTTGTATTTTGATGGGCTACAAAATATTTAAATTGACGTTTTAATGGTGGCGTGTCACGGAGCCGCATACACGGATAGCTGAAAAATAAATTCGTTCCCGGATAGATAAAAAAAATACACTTTGTTCCCGGAGAGCAGAAATGTTTTTTTTTGTTGCTTGACAGCACAGAAACTTCGATTTTCTCAAAGCCAAAAATCAACCGTTGAAAATATTTAACTCTCGTTTGTACCATATGATAAAAAAAAAGGTTCTCTCACATTATAGCCCACACCTTCAAGTAAATTATAGACCTACGAAATGCAGAAACTCTTCAATGAGAGGGGCATTGCTTTCAAACAAAAGAAAAGTCGTTTAACTTTTTTTTATTCGAGCCGAAACAAAATGTGCTTACCGGATAGCCAAAAAAAAACATTGCGTATCAAAATAGTCGTACTTTAATTGCCATCTAATTCCATGAAAACAAAAGTATCACAGAAAAAAAATGTTTTTTTTTTGTTGAATTATTTGTAGCTTAGTTTCAAACATAGTAATGAATCAAGTTAACTTCCTCCTTCAAATATCTGAGCTAAAATCCCTCACTTCAGCGTTCAGTTTAAGTTAAATTTGCTAAAACTGACTAAGCTAAAATCCTTCACTTCAGCGTTCAATTTAAGTTAAATTTGCTAAAACTGAAAACGTTGAAACTTTTAAAGTTAAGACTGAAAACGAAGTTAATATCGTCCCTCTTAACGGCCAGCTTTGGGGGGGGGGGGGGGGGGGGGTGGAGGGTTAACTTGGTCTAGAACGCGCACCGAAGTTTCATGCTCAGATCCATTTTCACTAAAATCTATTCCTTTCAAATCTTTTTTTTATCTCCATGTAACTTCAAAAGTGTCATTTTTTTTGCCATATCGCCATGAAATCTGTTGTTCTCTCGATGGAATTGTAAAGGTGTTTTAAGATAAGTTTTTAAGGTAAATTTACCCTAACTTTTTTTTGAGTGCAGGGAACCGCAGAAAAAATATTTGGACTCACTGGACGTAGAAACTAAATTTTAAAAACAACTAAAGGCACAGCAATTTTTTGAAGTTTTTGAATATATTTGAAGCATTGCGACCATGAATTAACACAAAAGTCATCAGAAAAGAATCAAGTTTGCAATTTTGTCAGGCAGAGTTTTTGAATATATTTGAAGCATCGCGACCATGAATTAAAAGAATAATCATCAGAAAAAAATCAGTTTTGGACGAAAATTTTTTTTTGAGTTCGTGATGGTTTTTAGATCAAAAAAATTTAGAACAATGAGTTGAGGCATCGGAAAGCAGTTAAATCTAAATTCAAGATTGAATCTAAATTCGGGTAGCAGTGGTGAAGTGGTTACGTCTCCGCCTCTCAATCGAAAGGTCGGATGTTCGAGGCCCACCATGATCCGTGCTCGTTGCTTGAGGGTGAGGCAACATTACCCAGCCCAGAAAAATAACCAAAAAAATTGCATGTAGTTCTTAAGCAGGGGCACAACAGCGGTTCGCCGTGATGGTCTGTACAGCTCGTATGTTGGTCCTATCCCTCGTGGATAAATGATCTTATAAGAGCAAGAAAAGAGAAGTGAATTAACAAAAAATGATTTTATCATGAACTTACTCATTTCAAACTACCCTTTCTCAAACTATTCTCACCCCCCCCCCCGTTTTCAAACTTAGTAAGTTGAAAAAATGGCGGGAAGGGCGTAGGGGGAGGAGCTAACAAAACCAACAATTTTTGAAACTTTGAAACCGTTTTACCGTTTTGAAACCAGTTTTTGTGTACTTTTTGATCAACATCTTTCAGATCGAATTCGTGAGAGTTACATACGGCAGAGGGTGGCAAAGTCTTGAAGGAAAATAACGGGAAACACAATTTAAGGACTTAAAAAGATTTGTGAGAAAAAAGTCAAAAAATTGTGAAGAGAAAAAAGAGAAAACAAAATAATAATTTCCAGAAAATTTATTTTACTGTTAATAACTGAATTTCTGTTTTGCGGAAGTAACGCTCAAGTTTTGAACTTACTTTGTCATTTTTTTCTTGAACCTACTTTGTACTTTCACTTTAAAAATGTTTAAACATGACTGACTAATTTTAAAAAAAACGGATACTAATCCAGGTTAACATATTATAAACGATTTTAATAAATTTTATTGTTTAAAACAGTTTTATAAGAACATAATTTAAACAATTCTAATTGATTGTTTTTGAATTTAATAGAAACAAGCAAGGAAAACCAAATAAATTGATTAATTTTGCGCCATGAGCAAATATTTGCCTGACGATAGGTTATATTCGTAGAAAGGCTGTGCGGGATTGACGAACTTGCCTCTTTAATCATATTTTGTTGTGTTGTTGATTACCTCAACCATTTTTAGAAATTGTATGAAAATTGTATGACAAGCATTTTCCCACACACTTGATGTATGGAATTGTATGATAAGCATTTTCGGTGTATGGAGGTCAACCCGGGGTTCTTGTTTTTTTTTCGTCTGTCCAACAATGCAGCTCTGTGGTTACTCACCATTTGAATTCGGTTTCGATAATTAAATCTAATATTCAACCTTTTTAACTGTTCTCAAAGTTATCGTGTGAAAAAATCGTATTTTATCCCCTAAACTGATTTGTAGAGGGAGTGATTGGACAATTGATCCAGGTTTCGCCGACAGGCCATGAAGAAAAACGTCGTAAGCCAATCAGAATCGGGAAAAGAACATGCATACTTCGAAAGCGTGTTTTCTCACCTCGATCCTGATTGGCTTCCGATTTGTCTACTATATGTCGTTTTCTACTTTTTGACCGCAATCCGTTTAAGGCATGCTTTCTGATAATTCATGTGTCAAGTTGACAAGTTGAGTTGAGTAAGCTTTGTAATTGTTCCAACCATTGAAAATGAATGGGAACTTTGTATTCGGGTGTGTGTTAGTCTTTTTTTGTTTTCCACATAAAATTAGGTACCACAAATAATAACCGGAATAGTTCGAGTGATTTAAGATATTAAAAATTGTTTTCGAATTGGCCTTTTTTTTACTATGGCTGTCGAATTTTCTTTTGTTCTACATTTTCGTTAAGATCATTTTATCATACCACGCAGTAATAACGACACTAATCTGGAAATTTTATAAAGTTTTTGTAAGACTATTGTCGGAACATTCTGTGATACTTTGTACTAGTAGCGGATTTAGGGGGGACCGGGGGCGGACGCCCCCCCCCCTCAGAGATTCGACCCCCTGCCGACTCAAAGGGTCCCCCCTTCACACTATTTTGAGACATCCATTTTTGGCTGACTGACCTTAAGATTTTTCTAAAGGCGCCTTTGGCGCCAATATATACTAATTTTGAGAGGGGAGCGCGCTCCGAAAAAACTCGATTTTTTGGTCGAAATTTTCCAAAAAGTGCCTAAAAACGCCTTTTTTTGACCTTTTTTCAACATTTGCCTGCGACGCAGAAAATTTTATCAAATTAGGGTCTTTAAAGGGGTTTGGGAGAGCTCAGAAAACTTCGAAAATCCGCCACCCCCCCTCGAGAAATTCCTAGATCCGCGCCTGCTTTGTACAGTAACTGGCTATTCTTATTATATATTGAAAAATCTGCTCATTTTGTCATAGGTTCAAGCTCCACTTTCAGTCATTTTTTAAAATTGACATCCTTTGAAAGTAAAAAGAAATCTTTGACAACTTAAAGATTACATTAAGAAATTTTACGGGAAATATAGAGAAAGTTCTCTACGCTTCCTTATTAAAACAACATGTAATAAATTATAACCAGAGCATGTGTATTTAGACTCTGTAGGGCTTTCCAAGTCGCTTTTGGGTAACGCGGCGTATTTGAAATTGGGGTTGGATAAATTTCAAGTGAGAGGGAAAGAGCTTGTTGACTTTTTGGTGATCCACTCAACACCTGCTGGCCGATTAAGTCAAGCCTGATTAATAAGATCTGACCCGGAGGGAAAAACACGTCAAAGGAACTGAAGTGTTTTCGAGACAATCAAATTAGCCGCACAGAAACAACATTTTCTAGGAAATAGTATAATAGTGAACAAACAAACGAAAATATAGCTGATGATTTGAACTAATACCATCCTAAAATTTATATCCAGATAAGCAAAAATTATTTTAATATGATAAATCTTTGAAGTGTAATAATTATCTTTTCACGAGACAATGACTACATGTTATCAAAAGTGCTCTGTGGGTGTCGAAACTCAGCTTCAAATAAAATAGAAAATAAAAAATAGTTAAATAAAAATTGAATAAACCTAATCTCGGTAAAACCCTGCGTGCTAAAATATGGTACAAACCGCATTTAGTCCTATTCATACAATGAATACGGCAATAATTTTTTGGTGGCCATCAAGCTGGTTTTATAACAGTTCGAATCTGATTTTTTTTATGGGCTACTTATATGCGAAATAAATGGAAATTTCCGAATAATCAGGAAGGGATCAAGGATTTTCCCCAGGAAATTGATGTATACCAGATAAAAAACGTTTTAGATAGCGCGCTTTCCCAAAGGAACGTTGGTTAGTGTTATCGAATTGTCGTTATGATTTTGATTTTAAAAGATACAAGTCTTCAAAAGCCAACTTTGAACAGAAATTTAGAAAAGTGGCTCTTATCTGCTTTCAAGCCTTCAAATCGTTCGTTAAACAACAAAATGACTGCTTGCGTCAACGCGAAGGCCCTGA